ATGTCTCACCAATCTCCATTAATTGCAGTATAATTATGTAATCACTTTAATAAATGCTGCCTGAATCCTCTGAGGATGCAGCTATCTAAGAAGGCACCAACAGAAATATATCTTGTGACATGGATTGGATGATGGTCTTTTCCAACCTAGAAATCTATGAATCTATGAATCTTCTGTCCATGAGTTCGCAGTGGTTTAGTTCATGAGTGGGTATGTGGTAGTCTAGGTTTTACCCCGAAGTTCTATTGTGTTGACATTTTTAATAGTCTTTATTTTTACTTTATTTCATTAAGAACTTGCTGTAAAGACTGCTGAAACTTCATCTGGTTTGTATTAACTGCCTTTCCCACACTTTATGGATCGTCGTAACTTGGCTTTCACTCTATAACATGAACTACTGCAATCATTGTTGAAAACAACTTGCTAATGGGAGCTGCCTTGATTTTCTGCCTTTGTTATTTTACTGGTCGCTTCACCTGAGCAAGAAGTGCCGGTAGCGTGATCCTGTGGATTGGGAGAAATAAATATGAGCAAGAGCGATAGCTTTAATAACTGCTTTGTATTTTCAGAGTATCACGGTGCATGTAATTTGTGCTTTTTCTATTTAAAAAACCCTAGCAACACAACCCAACTAACAAAACCCAAGAGTTTGGCAGGGTAAACGTTCTTTTGGAGAATAAATTTGCATCTTCAAAGTCTTAATAGAGTCACAGAACCTTGCTTTTTATGTCATGACTTTAAATTTCTTAATTCCAAAATCTCAAAATAATGCAATGCCCTTGCATTGGAAAGAGTAAAATGTTTCATTTCACATTATAATCCTTGTATTCCAATATAAAACAAAATAAAAATGTAGCCATTTCAGAAAATGTAAAAATAATAAACTGTTGAAATTCTTTTGCCTGCTCTTCCTCTTCTCACCCTGGTTTTTAGTTGGGATGAAAACTTGGAAATGAAACCTGCGCTGTGTATACTGATGGAATGTGGTTGGAAGCTTCTGTTGCCAGCTTTTAAAATATATGTGTTCTGACAGCTATATCCTACTATTATTAGTGCAGTATATTTTTTTTCCAGTAAACAACTTGATAAAAATGATACACAACAGGATTTGTCATTGCTTTCAGTGAATTTGTTTGAGCTGAAAACACTTCAGTTTTACTCTCGAAGGCCAACAGAGGTTTCAGCTCTGGTGCCTGAGAGGTCAGCTTTTTCCTTTTTGTGAAATGGATTGTAAGCTTCAGTATTGCAGTACACTCAAAAAAGACCCCTTCATCATTTGAGGGGGCTGGGATTGGGTGATAAAGTATTCTCTCTGGAAGCTTCATCTTTTGGAGTTCTCTCCATGTAAGTCTCTGGATATGACAACTGAGAGAAGAGGGCACATTGTAAAGTCGTGTCTCTAAATCCTTAAAAAAACATTAAAATAAAACGTCATTTGTTGATAATGCAAGTAAGTGAAACAAAAGGCTGTAATGGGTTTAAATTTGTTATGCTATTTTAATGAAGTATTAGCAGCAAGGTAAGTTTTAGCAATATTTCTTTTTACAGTGATTGTTAGTGTTAATAACGGCAGTGTATAGAGAGTTTGAGAGATGTTGTAAAGTCTAAGCATTATGTGTGTCTATGTATATGTGCACACAGGAAACCTCGACCTGTCTCTCAGCTGGTTGCACAACAGGTTCCTCAGCAATTTGTGCCCCCTACGCAATCAAAGAAAGAGAAAAAAGACAAAGTAGAAAAGGAAAAAAGTGAAAAGGAAACAACAAGCAAAAAGAACAGTCATAAGAAAACCAGGTAAAAATTTTAGAAATTTTTGCGGTATTGGTAAAACATAATTAAAAAAAGAAAATAAGAAAATGTTCTGCAATTTTACTGCTTCGTAAGTGCTGTGGCAAACTCTTTTGACATGAAGGCTAAATGGTTGCTTGCGTGTGAAGTTTCATTGGTTTAGGATGCCTATTAAATGTGAAGAAAACCTGCAGTTTTTAATTTTGACCAGAAGGTGGAGACCAGCTGAATGCAGAGAGGAAGACTTGGATGTTTTTGTTAAGGGTTCCAGATGTATTTCTCACACTATACTAAACTGTAGACAGGCAAACAGATTACATTAATCTCTGGAAGAGAGTGGGGACAGGAGTGACTAGTTTTTATGCAAAATAATAAAAGAGAGAAAGAACCAGTACCAGACTGCAGAACAGTGGGGAAGTAACATGATTATTGCTATCCTTGCAGAACTGGAATAAACTTGGAAGGGCTGAGCTAGAGTATAAATTAACGTGACAGGGTAAGGCATGTATATTGCATAGTGATAAAAATCTCTGTGCTACATCTGGGATGCTGAAGGAAACCTTGGACTCTTAGAACCAAGAACATAAAATATTACAGTACGGACAAGCAGTTGTAAAAGCCTTGATCTTTCTGTAAGAACAGGTGGAAGAAGGGTCCAAACTGCAATAAAAAAGCAACAAATTTAACCCTTAAATCATCACAGCCTAAGCATAAAGTTATTGTGGCATGAATGCTGTGCCAAAAAGCTTAGAAGTATACGAGACGTAGCCTAATCAAACGTGGGAGGAACTATTGATTGATTGATTGATTTTCTGGAAGCACTCCAAAGTAGTCCAGCCAAGGAAGATCTTTTGGGATTAGTTATGCAGAGAAGTAGCAGATGCTTCTCTTGTGCCTGAAACAGGATCATCAGGATCAGAGCCAGGGAGAGACTGAGAGTCAAGAGAAAACAGTTGTTAAGAAAGTCATGGTTAAGATTAAGAACAGTAAGCTGTTCCTTCTTTTTTATTTTTTTCCTTTTTTTTTAATACTCCAATTTACTAGCTTACCTCATGCAGCTGAAGTACTTCAATTAATGGAGTATTTGAAGTTAACATAGTGAGTTTTGATTAAGCTAATTAAATATTATAAATTGATATATTGATGGTTGAATTGCAATAGTACATTAAAAATGCAAAAGTGAGGTAGGGAAAAGGGAGAACATTTTAAAAAAATAACTAAAATAAAAATCTTGGACTGAAATACCAGTATTGAGATTTGCATTAAGAATTGCTATTTGAAATAACTAAGCTACTTTTAAAAAAAAAAATGCTAGGTAGGATAGAAAGTTAAGAATGCTTGATTAGTTTAAGCAGATTTCTTCAGTATCCTTTGGGAAAAGGATATCCTTTTGGTTTTGCCTAAAAACTTGTATATTGTTGCTGGAAACCATCATAAAAATCTGCATGCACATTCAATACAATTAATAAGCTCCAGACACAGCACTTATGCAGGTTGGCAGTGCTGAATTTTTCTCTCTGTTCCCATGTTAGAGAGCAGCAGATTTTCAGTTTTCTCTTAAATTCTTCAGTCACGCTGCTTCAGTCTCAGGGGAACAGGATGTCAAAGCCTGTCTCGATTCTAGCGGAGGAAAGGCCTGAGGTGTTTCAGCTGAAGGGACTGGGAACCAGTTCTACTTCAAAGTCAGATGATAGGGTAAAGGTTAGGGCTTTTCTGTCAGCACACCTGCTATCATGTGATGTCATATTAGTTTATTTTATTGCAGCTTGAGCTAGTGAAAGCTGTGGAGTCAGTTGAATGCATATAGCTATGCTGTTCGTAACCGATTGTACAAATTTAGCTGTCTGGTGACAGTTTTTCATGGTAGTCAAAGTAAAATAGTAAATTGAAAGTACTTTATGCTTGATCTTAGCAAAAATGTGATGGCAGAATGTAAGTCAAAATATTCTTCTCTGATCTTTATGATGTGAAAAATCAAACGATTGAAAGGTTAGATGAAGAGACTTATCCTATCAGCACTGTGTGTAATACTCAGCTCTGTGCATAATTTAAGTCACAGTGGATGCTAGGAATACCAGAGTTATGCTTTGAACACAGTCTAGTTCAAATAGTATATGTACTAGCAGTCTTAGTAAAGTTTGGAAACGCAGTAACACCTGCTGCAAGTTAACACTATCTGTGCTCTTGAATTAAAAAGACAGACACCAACATCTTCATTATTGAACATCATTCTCTACTTAGAATTGTTACTTAAGGCTGCTGCAGAGGGATATTTCTCTGGATCAAATTTATAACTTTCTGTAGCCACAATAAAGAAAGACTTAATTTTTAAAAGGAAAAACCTTCACATGTGTAACACATCCATATTGCTGCACAGCTACATTGTTCATAAGGTCAACTTTTAAATACTCTTAGAAGGTAATGTGTTATGTTCAGCTATTTTAATGTAAAGCATACTAGGAAACACTCTACTGTAAATATTTGTGGTACATTGTTTTCCTGTGTATTACATGTTGTACGTAGTGGTCTTCTGTAAAAAGTAGGAAGAAGACAAGACAATATGATGGTGTTTGTGCTTTTAATACGATTTTTTGCTTTATTTAGGCCAAGATTGAAAAATGTGGATCGAAGTAGCGCTCAGCATTTGGAAGTTACCGTTGGAGATCTGACAGTCATAATTACAGACTTTAAGGAGAAAACTAAGTCACCACCTGCTTCCAGTGCTGCTTCTGCAGATCAACACAGTCAGAGTGGTTCTAGCTCTGACAACACAGAGAGGGGAATGTCCAGGTCATCTTCACCCAGAGGAGAAGCGTCATCACTGAATGGGGAATCTCATTAAAGTTTATTTCCTCCAGTTTCTTTAGTCTCTTCTCTTCAAAACATGCAAATACATAAATTCTGTCACCTGTTGCCACATTTTCATGACAGACTATCCATGCACAATTGGTATGTTGAATGGAACATAATTTATGCAGGTTTAAAAAAAGGAAAAAGTGCAGTGATAGGAACAATAATTTAAATGCAACCTACAAATGCTTACAAAGCATTGTCAGAGCGACTTTTTAATCTTCATGTGTAAAGGTGCCATGAAAATGTGGTTTGAATGTTCATTATGCAGTGTTATTGGAAGTCCATTTTCACTTTTAGTTTAGTGAATTCTAACACAACTCTTGGAGTCTCTACTATTGGCATGTACTGAATTTAAATTTTTATAATATAGTTCAAGCTGCCTAAATATGTATTATTTGAGAATTGTGAAACATAGTTATATGTATGCAAGTCAGAGATCAACTTAATCAACTATTGCTGCAACAGAATTTTCATAATAATTATCTTCTTAAAAACACCTGCTGGTACTTGGTGTGGTTAAATAGGAAAATGTTATTAAATAAAACATTTGTATGAATTTTTGCCAATGTTTGACACATTTTACTAGATTACTGTTACTGAATTATGTTGATGGTTTTATCAATATTTTTTCACACTTAAAACACTTATTGTAATGTTTACAAGCAAAATAGAAAACACATTCTAAGCATTGATTGGTTAACCTTACAATTCAGGTAAAGTACTACATTGTCACTGTACACTGGTATTCTATATTGTGTAACAAGTATGGAACCTCAGATGACTATGCATTTGGCAAAAACTAACATTTGGAAGTATGAAAATTTGGGAAAGCTTTAAAAATAACAGAAGAGCAGTTCTCAAAAAATTAGCACTGTTTCCTTGCCCCAAATTGATCTAGTGTCGTATAGTCACTTACCATTTCATTACAGGAATATCAGATGTTGCACAAGAATAAGGAAACAACAGTACTATTAATTTTTCGTTCCTGAATCATTTTCTTTAATTTTGATTTGGCCTATTAGAATATATTATGTCAAAAATCATATGAAAAAAAACTCACTACCCTACTTTATGGCATAAACTGTCAACATTTACGCACTTAGCAATATACTGATACAGAGCAGAACTATTTACAATCCCATCTGGTATTGTGTAAAAGTACCAATAAAATATTTTTGTGAATACAGATTTTGCATTTTTGTTTACAACCAATAAGTGTTTTGATACACACATACAATCCATCTATAGATTTTTAAATTATAGATTCAGGTTCAATACAAAAGTCCATTTACCTCTTTTAGTGAGGTAGTCCACTTACACTCCTGTGATTCTTTTTCCATTCAAAATAAATACATTTTTAAGCCCATGTAAAAGTTGGACGGACCTTCCTGATAGTGAATCCAGCCCCAAATTATTACCAACGTATGATATGTCTTCTTAACAGCTAAAACAATGGATTTTTGTAGCCCCTGACAATTGTGATGTTTGGTGGTTTCTTGTAGTAATGTATTTTTCTGTTTTTAATGCAGTACTTCTACAGGCACAATGGTACTGTTCTATTTTGTAAGATGCTAGTTGTGAAATACAGTTAGTTGCATAAAATGAAAGTCTGATGTGATATCTGAGAACATACATACCTCATTCCTTGGTGTTGCTGTTTAAACTTTTTAGACATCAAATGTTAATTATAGGCTATTTCAGATTGATAACTACTGACCTGTTTATTATGTATTCTGCTTTATCTTACTGAATAGGATGTTTGTTCATTGCCGTTACCCGGCCAAATCTTAGTATCTGTAAAGCAATGCATTTTAAGGTTCTTAAATGTTTTTGGGGCTGGGCTGGTGTTCAGAATAACATACCCTAGTTTTTAAAAGAAAAATACATGCTTCTCAACTTTATTTTTTTATATTTTATTTTTAGGTGGGACTATTTACAGACTTTACTGATGTAATGGATTACAAGAGAGCTGAAACTGTTTAAAGTAAGCAGTTTAATGATATCAAATCTCATCACAAGATGTTTTATGAAATGTGTTTCTAATTTAAGATGTAATGAATGCTAACACATTTCAGAATTCCTTGCAAACAAATAATAATCTATTACCAGTAGTTCAATAAATGGGAAATGTATTTTCATTTAACTTTATGTGAATAAACCACCCAGCACTGCCAACAAGAGGTCTCTCTGTATCTCCAGAAATAAGTAGCCATTTGCTTTGGAAGGAAGGGAGGATGGAGTGAATTTTACTATGATTCAACTGTCTCTAGAGAATAATCTCAAAAATGTGGTACAAGTATGGTTATAATCAAAAAGAATGCAGAAACGTCTCACTGTTCTTTATGGAATAAGACATGGAAAAGCAATTTCTAACCACAGATACAACACAAGTCAGGATATAAAAACTGAGCTGTGGTGGTTTTAACTGAACTATTATGTTGCCAGTGTTTACATTGCAATGATGCCTGTTTTGGCATTAAAGAAAGTTAAAATAATTTTTGCCTGTTTGTGATTAAAGGGATGTGACAATACTGACTGCAGAGTAGACAAATTCTAAGTAGAATATGGCATTTGACTCTGTTCATAATGTTATAATTTAAATGAACTTCACTTTCATAATTTCTAAATAATTTTGACTTATAGTAATCCTAAGTCCTTTTTCTAACTGTAAATATATTTAAAAGCATCTTTATTCCATTTATAAAAAGTGAAAATTTAACGTTGTAATGTGTTTTGATTAGCTATTTTTCTCTGTGACTGCTCTCTGCATTAAGAACTGTTACTTGTTAAATTCTGTATATGCACCAGTCTTCAACAGCCATACATCCTGGGTTGTTCAGGGAATGGTGACCCAACAAAGACAAGTGTGATAGTGTTCCATGTAAACAAGTTCCTTTATGTGCTGATTGATTGTCCGGTTTCAGAAAGGAAAAGGAGGGAGAAATGGGGGGGGAAAAAAGAAGTAGAATTAGTTCATTGATAAAGTGTACAATAATTCAGTCTCTTATCTTCCTAAATTTGCCACTAATTATAGATAGTATAAGGAAAGGAACAAATATACAGTTATAGACTATGATCCTTTTTTTTCCTGAAGTGTGTATATTGGAGATAAACAAAAGTTGTTCTACTCAGTAGCAGTAGGTTAAATTTTGCCATATAAATTCTTGATTCTAACAGAAGTGATAGTAAAAAAAAACCCCAAAACATTAAAAACCTTGAAAATTCTTGGTATTAAAAGTCTTGAAACTAAGACTATGACTGAAATTTTAACCTATGACATGTTTCTCTAAATATTTGATGTTTTGTGGCATAGATTGTAAAATCTTTTTTTTTTTTTGATTTTGTAATTTGTGCTCTTTACTTTTTTTTAATATTATGGATAGCACATTTTTAGGTAGCCATGTAAGATAGAATACTTTTTTATAATTTGTTTCCACCAGTTCACTATTATGTTCAGGCAAGTCTTCTAAACTTGACACAAGTATATGGCTCTGCATCTTAGATTCTTTAATTTCTCTCTCCTGTCTCAAAAGCCTGACAGTTTCCTGCATTATGGTAATTGATTATACTGTTAAACAGGATGGATTTGGCATGAAATTGTCTGTTGTGTATTACTTATGTATTTCCAGGGTTCTTTAACTGTATCTGCTTCTGTTTTTTTCTGTCACATGCCTTTATTTGACTCTGCTCCTTACTAGGGAGTCTGGATATGCTTCCTTTCAAGTACCAGAAACTATATGGAAATAGAAATGCAATCTAATTTAATGTCTCCAAAGGCAGCAGCAAGCACTACACTTGTAGTAAATTTGGCCTGTGCTTACTCAGGAATAAGATAGGTACGGCAAAAAATTAACACTGGTTTTGGCTATGGTAATTTGCAAATGTGTACTTCTGTTGATGAGAAGATTTGGGTGTGCTGGAAATACTGTGTGAGCTTTCGAAGGTTTTTCTTATCTGAAATTATGCCCTGACTTTCGTCAGAGCAGTCTCAATTTGAACGGGTGTAACTTCACAAACTACCAAAAGCTGTACAGTAATATCAAACTGAGTAAGCTCAGTTGGTTTTCTTTTGTACTGTAAGATTTTTAACAAAAGGAGAAACTTTCTCTTGTTAAAGAGACTTAAGAGATTTGTCTGAGACAACAACCAGATATTGAGCTTAGTGCAACATCTAAAGAAGAACCCGTGTTTTAATAAGAATAAACAGGAGTTATCTACTAAATTAAAATTGGGAAAGTACTTCACAAATTAATTACAAATCAATGCTTGACAGAAATTGTTGTAACTTCCTGTCTTGATGGATATGAATGGAGTAAATAGTGCAACAGCAATGGATAGCTTGACACTTGCTGGTAACTGGTATTGTCCAACAGGAAGTGATGCTTAAGTGACTTTCCTGAGATATTACACAAGAAGATTGTGATATGTCTGTGAACAAGGCCTAGGAGTCCAGACGTGTCGCACGCGTGTGTGTGTGTATCCCCCCCAACTATACCGTTGGATTCAGACAGTGAAAGAAGAGGCAGTGAACAAATAAATTAGTTTAGAGTCTTAGTAATGCAAGAGCTCTTTACAGCTTCTGTTTAAATGTAACAGTGAAAATTAATTAAAATGAACGACCACTGTATCATACCTAATCCCTCAGGAAATGTTTTCGCCCCTAATCTTGCTCCTTTTAGTATGGGAAACAGATAAAAGTCCTCTGAAAGAACTTGCTCTGTCCACTGACACAGGGGATTTTAAGAAGAGACAGTTTAATGTGCGCAGGAAGTTTTAGCTGTACTTTTTAAGGAGTTAAACATGGAAGAAAGATGAAGGACAAAGGCATATTCAATGGCTCAAATGACTATTACTAAGAATGATCACAAGAGATTGCTGTACCCTTTGAAGTTTGTAAAAGACAAAATGGTAACGCTGTCTAATCACTCCTTGTCCCACATGTTTAAAAAGAAAATTACAACTAGAAAAAATATTGTTCCAGTAACAATAATGTAAAGAATAGTTCAAAAATATTAATTATTTTGTGGAAAGTATGGCATATCTTGACAGAGGTAGGAATATCTGAGCATGAAGCCCTTCAAGGCTACATTTTCAGGATCTAGGTCACCTGGAAAAGTGTAATCTTTACTTACACCGATCTCTGTGTATAAATACTGATCTTAGTTAAAGTGCTTGCAAAGTGAACAAGTTTGAGATTTTAAGAAATGTGGCTTTAGACTAATGGAGCTGTAACTTACAGTTATTGAGAAGACGACTGAGGAAAAGAGTGTTGATCTTCTTTTTGGTAACCTGCTAACCATGTACTCATAATTTTCCTCTTCTGCATGAAGAAGCAAACGTATACAGAAGAAGGAAATATATGTTACCAGGGATAATGAAATTTGGCTCTTTTCCCCCTTCCCAAGGTCACTAGAGTCTACAAACTACAAATTCTGTTGGTTCAAAGGCAGCCACGGGTACTTAGTCACTGGAAAGAGAAGGAGTTGTTCAGTCACTCAAGTGAGCGGTGAGGCCGATTCTACTTTCTGAACACCCTCGTCAGGCGTACAGAGACCTAGCCTTGCTATTTATATGCATCTAATATAGAACTGCCACCCATGAACCATCTATTTCAGGCTGATCCTTCTTTGCACAGAATAAATCAAAATGCTTCAACGCCAAGCCTAGTTCTTGAGGGCACAGATCTCTGAGCAAGAAAACTCGCCACGTGACAGATTGTCTCTTACCGTACCAGCCTTCAGCTATGAATTAATCTCAGCAAGGGAAATCTCTTTAGGATTACGTCTATTTGTTGCATATCACCACTCCCACCCCTGAAGGAAACACATTCTGATTCCTTCTTCTCTCTTTCATTTTCTTTCTTTTTTTTTTTTTTTTGAGTACATCTACAGTATAAGTGGATGCAGTGAGTTTGGAATAGTTTATTATGCTTGCTCTTGTAAGTGAGGAATTTGACC